ACTACTATCGTATATTTGTAGCACGTGATTAATAAGTTATGCTTATAGGTACGTGGGTTTGAGACACAAATGGAGAAATGGATGGGAGCTTCTGACTGCATCATCACAAAGGTAAGCCATATCTTTAAAGCAGCAGTTTCATATTACTAATATTACTTATCTTCTTATGCCAGAAAAACCATCAATTTTTCGAGTGTTTATGATATCAAACAGGCCGGTCCAGGTACCATTGCAGAAGCATTGATTTGCGGCCTCCCAATTATCCTCAATGACTACATTCCTGGACAGGTACATATATATGTTTGCTTTATCCTTAAATATTTATCGATCATTAGTAATCCAAACACTAACTCGTGTGAATGTAACTCTCAAAGGAGAAAGGCAATGTGTCGTATGTTGTAGACAATGGGGCTGGGGTTTTTACCCGAAGTCCGAAAGAAACCGCCACAATTGTGGCTGACTGGTTTACTAGCGACAGTGAAAAATTAAAGACAATGTCACAAAATGCTCTTAAGTTGGCGCAACCTGAAGCCGTGTTCGATATTGTTAAGGATATCCACCATCTTTCCAAACAACAACAACGTATTCATCTCTATAATGATTTTTCCTACTGACTGCATCTTTTTTAACTTATAGGTTTCTTTTGTTTCATGATTCATAAGGTTGTATATTGTTTATTGCATTGTCATTCTTTGATCACTGTTTTGTAACATTTATATATGAATGTTATAACATTTTTCGTTATTTTATTTTGCTTTAGTTGATTAGGTTTTGAATATTTGGTTTATAAGTTTTTTTTAACATTTTATATTTCATTAATAATGGTCAAATTGTCCCTCATTAGATTTTTACGTTACATCTACGAAAAAGTGACATAGAAATTGAGAACTGATATGAAATGATAACATATACAACAATCTTGTATGATGAGTGGCTAACAAGTAGCTTGACTCGACAATGTAGAAGTATAGTTCATCCAAAAGATCCAGTTTGGAAAGTTTACTTAATCATTAATTTTCATTGTTTCCTTGGAATAAAGTTTTACTGTATTCATGATAATTTTATAAATATTTCACTCAAAAAATAAAAAAATTTGTTTTTTTGGAGACCGAACACAGTTACTAATTCATGCTCAGACATATACACAATAAAATTTCATTCTCGATTCTACTAGAATTTTTATGAAAGCCTTTCATTTGCTTATCTTCGATGGAAGTTTCATTTTCCCAAATTGTATCATAATTTTTTGTTTAATTTGTGACCCAAAAAAAAAAAAATTGGTCTAATTTTATTTATAATCAATTCCACTTTGATAAAAAGTATATACATTGGTTATATTTCATCCCTTCAACAAGTTTCATAATGATAATATTGTTTTGATGGAGAGAAGAACCTATGATTAACCTTTTTAAAAATATCCAAACGAACAATTTCAACAAAATATTTTAATATAATATTTAATTCTATGTATTTCTCTGTCCATAGAATATATTGATTGTACAAAATTGACAATAACATAGTAAAATTTAAGACAAATTTAAAATTTATTTTTCTTTAATCTTATAGACAACTAGGGTTGAATCCGTGAGTTGCGCTAATAAATATGTCACAAATTAGTAAAA